GCCCTCAGGACCAGCTTCTGGTCTGGCTTCTATGTTCGAAATCCAGGTCCTCCCATGGGGAGGGCTCCACTGTGGCTGTAGCACAAAAAGAGCAGCAGATCTTTATGAGAATAAAATGTAAACTGCGTTTAAAAGTGAAGACATTTCTTCCACGGATGCACAAAGTCCCTAATTTAGCAGACAAGGCTGAATCCCACATATGGCAGAACAGAGCTATAAAAGTTGTCAGCAAGCGATATTCATCTTAATTTAGAAACAACTTGTTCCTACCATGTAACGTAAACGTGATTGAAAACATGCTGTCTTGTAGCCCTGAGTGTAGTATACACATTCATTAGAGGAACTAGGGAAAGTACTGGCATGGATTCACATTTTTTTTCAACCCATAGATAGAGAGTTTCAGATTTTTTGGTACAGATTACTGATTTTTCTTATTCTGTGGCTCAACAGCCAACAGCTTTCAGCAAGTGCTCAGTCTTCCACATGTGGTGCTGGACAGAATTCAGCAGCACTATTATGAGTTCTAGGTTTGATGAGGGAGAAAGTAAAGCCAAGAGGACAACAGACCACTCAGGTTTTGACACTCGAGGAATGGCATCACTCTATGGCTCAGGGAAAGGGGCACAATCCAACATGCTGCCCCTTCCAGGGCTTGACACTGGCTTGAGAAGGATATGCAGGGTGAGGGGAAAAAACATCCTGTTAGCATTTACTAACTTCTTGCAGTTATTTTCCTTCTACTGATCTCAAAGCCTTGAGGCACACAAAGGCCTGGATAATAAAAGGAAAGGTGGATCAGTCACCTTTCCCCACCTCTTTCCTTTGGGGAAAGGAGTGATGTTTAAAGAACATCTTTGTCTAGGGTATCAAACCGGCACAGGCAGCGCTTTTAAGTGCACTCCAAGACACCCTCACAGCTCCTGTTAAAAGAGCAGTCCTAGAACTGATGTTTGTTTGCTCAGATGTTCAGTAAATACAGGCACAAAGGCCAAAGTCAATCCAACAGCAAAAGAAAAAAAAAAAAGGCTAATATTTACAAAAAATGCCTTCAGAGGGGTTTCTGCTCAGCTGGCAGCAAGACAGAGCTGAGGGATGGGATATGCTCTCTGCCATCTGGATCAGCTTTGCCCTCCCACAACTGCATTCTGCTGCCGCTGCAGCGTGGCCAGTGTCCCACTGCCCCCACACCTGTGCCAGCCATGGCCAGTGCCTCCACCTCACAGCACTCTGAAGGCAGGTCATGTCACCAGGCTTAGTCAAGAAAACATTTTGTATTCTTAATTGCAACCATATTTTTTCAGAGTTTATTTTGTGGGGCCAGTCAGGTCACACCAAGGGCTAAAAAATGACTCAATCCAAGAAGCTATGAAAGAAGAGCTCACTGTGTGACCCTCTCCTGTCTTTGTCACATCCCACTCCTGGGGGAAATACAGGCTTATCTCCTACCCCACCCCATTTTGGGGACCTCCAGCTCTCCCAGGCTGCCCCGGGTCCCCAGCAAGCCCCACCACACCTCATCCTCTACAGCCTCCCCTGCCTCTCAGCCCTTGGGCTCCTGTTGGGGAAATCAAACCATCATCCCCCTTCTGAGAGCAGCACAGCAGCGGATTCTTTCTGCTCAGACCTCGTTTACCACAGCCCCAGGTCTTAGCCCTCAGAGAGCTTTCCCATAAACTCACACTCTTGTAAATTTAATCTGTTTTATTCCAAATATCACATAAATTAAATACAATTCCCATGAATATTGCAAATATACATGAAATGAACATTGCAATTTTTAAAAAAAGTTTTGGCTTTGCTTATGCAACAAAAATTGCCAAATGTGGTTAGAACATGAACTTCTCCTGTATTTACTAGATACAAAAAGGTGCAGATTAATAATTTATATTTATACATATGTACACACTCCATTTCATAACTAGCTTTAAAACAGTAAAAAATGGTTTCAAGTTTATCTACATTAAACATACTCATTTAAATCTGGTCAGAAGCCCCAGATAAGAGTTGATACAATCATTTCACAACTGCAAAATTAAGGCGCTACCAAAATACCAGTTCCACTAGTGTAAAATGTAATAGGAATAGAGAGTGTACAGCTTTCTATTTATCAATTTAAAAGTGGACTGGAGAACGAGGAAAAAGGAGCAGTAAGAAACATGACAAGATCTACAGGTTAGAAGTACAAAGAGATCTTGATGACTATCAAATGAACATATTAAAATACAGTAGATAAAAGGCCTCAGTGGCAAACAATTAGTATGCTTCTGAAAGACAAAAAAACGGTTAAAATATATATAAATCATTTTGTAGCTTGAAGCTTTACAGGTGAACAACAGGTGTAGAGGTAGAGGGATTTTTTTTTTTTTTGGGCCTCTTTACGATGTATAAAGAAGGGCCACATTCACCACAGTGAAAAGACTCATCATATATCCCAGCATCCTTGCTTGGACAGCAAGCAAGAAAAATGTAATGAGCTAGAAAGGCAACGAATCCTGTCTATCTCTTCCAGGAGCTCAGCTCCAATGCTTCCACATGTACCTTGGTGACAAGTTACACCTAAGCACAGGTCGGCCGTAACGTGGACGTCTCCTCCAGAGAGAAATGAAGCAGCTAGCTTTTCCCATGAGGTACTACTGGATGCTGTAGAGATCATATGGCAGAGATAATTTGGTAACAATGAAATTGGTACTTTCCTTTAGAAAGCAAGTACCACAGGGCAGTGGTGATTTTTCTTTCTTTCTTCCTTTATTTATTTATTAAAGCTTTGCTATTTGATCAGCATTCAATGTTTTGGAAGAAATGTCAGCTTTGGGCTGCTAACATGATTATCTGCATCCATACACAGACAATTCCTATGTTGTTATCATTTATCCAAAACATCAGTCACCCAAATATTCACAAACCGCTTTAAACCTTGACCAAAAAAAAATCCCTCTACAGTTCAGCTTTCTCTTCCATAACTATTATTTCATTAATTATGCAGAACCTTCATGAACACAGTAATGTCACTTTCCATGTAAAATGTGTCTTTACACATTAGAGAACAGCAGTAAATCACCTCTCTTGTTCCATAGGGTTTCCTCTCAGAAGTACCTCAAAAGTAGATATCTTGAAAAATCACTTTTGCAAAGAAGAATATTCACATTAGTTACTCAGGCAAAGCCAAGAAGACACTAACTAGCACCTTGTTTTTGTGTTTTTTCTTTGTTGGTTTTTTTTTTTTAGTTTTTTTTTCGTTAAACGCACTCTTATATGTAAAACTAAGCACATGTAAGATCAGGGACCAGCACTACACAAATACCATCGGCGTCCCCTCACAGCTAAACTAGCAATACTCAAAACTAGGTCAGACACACAAAGGAGCAAGATGAGTGAGTCTAGAAGAAATACAGAGCATGGAAAGGGATGGGAAGAACAGGAAGCTGAACAGAAAGGATTGCAAGATCGAATACAGTCCATCTTCTGGTCTGAGAATTAGTCTGCAAAACCACCCTTTGGTAGCTCAGCTAACAGTGGGCTGAAGACCTACAGACTTGTGACATTTCCTCACCCGTACAGAGAACGAGTCCTTTACACTTCAGTGATTTCATCCTCTTCACGTCCTGGAGGAAACGCATTCAACTTGAATTTTGAGTATTTTGGTGATGGTAGCAGAACTTGCAGAAGGCTACTGTAGAGGTTATGACATCATTGGTTCTAAGTTATGCACTTCACAATTCAGAGAATATCCTTACGAACTATTTAAATAGAAAAGGCGTGTTCAAGGTAGAGGCAGTTACAGTACATTCAGGGTATGTTACAGAAACCATTGGTGGTAGCCACTTGCTGAAAGGAAAAAAACTCTGTATTTCTGTTTCCCAGACCACACAGGTTATAACTACAATACCCAAAAAGAGAAGGTAATATATCTCGATCACTGCGTTTTAATGCAGTCTTCTTCCAGAATTCATGTGCAATGTGAAAAAAAAAAAAGTTTAAATACATCTTCATTGACAAATAAGGACAAAAATAATAAAAAAAGAAACCAGGCACTTTGACCATTTAGGTAAACAGCCATTTCTCCTCTACCAGGCTCCTGCACATGAACAAGCCTTTACATTGGTCTTACTATGCTTGCAGCACATGGAGATTCAAGTCAACTTTTTTTTCCTGTTGGTAATATCAGTTCTATTTATAGGAAACTATGCCAATTGAACTGGTAACACTGTTAGTTATTTCATTGGCAGTCGAGCAAATGGTGATAATCTGACTGATAAGCGATCAATTTAACAGCTATCAAAGTTAGATATTAACAGAACAATACATAAAACATAATCAGAGACAAATGAAGGTTAACACCTGACTTAAGCTTGCATTGACACTTGCCTTTATAGGTTCAGTTTGTGCCTCCTTTCATGGTGGTGTTGTGGACTGATTTCCATCACATACAGCAACTGGTAATAAACTACAATACTTTTGGTTTGAAACACGTTCAGTAGAAATCACCCAATGCAACGGGAGGTCGGCATGTCACTGCAGGCCGGAGGGAGATGGAAACCTCTCTGGATTTCTGGATTCCACCCCTGCTGGTCCCACTCCCAGAGCAGGCGTTCAGAGCACACTGCAGCGTGCCTCCCTTGTACTTGGGGTGAAATCATCATTTCACAGCAGCGTTTATCATATTTTAGGGAGCTGGTTTGATTTGAATTTAGCAGTAACACCAGCTAGGATGACTTTGATTAAAGTACACCTTTCCAAACACTTTGTGTGTAGTCAATCCACTACACACATAAATCACAACACGAGGGATTACCGAAGGCTACTAAATAGTGTACTTATTCAGTAGCTATTATTCTTTCAGATAAACATCCTCAGATGCCTTGACCACAAACGGCTTTTTTTTTTTCCTCACAGACTATTGAGCTATTTGCTGAAGAGGGAGAGATGTGGGCGTGTGACAGACTGCCTACCAATTCACTAACAGAGCGTACTGTTGGTCATAGTCTTCATGCAAACTTCTGCCAGGCAGCGTAACTCCTCTGCTGTTCATTACTTTCAAGAAAGTCTAGGAAACACCTCTTCAATCCACTATCCAGTTTCCTTTTCCTACCAAGTGGAAATCCAAATCACATGCAGGCCAGTGGTGCTACTCTAGTACTTAACTCTCTTGCAGGCCATAAACATCAGCTCTATTGCAGTACTCTGAAGCAATTATCCACATCTATCAGCTACGCTCTAACTGCAGCACAACTTTGTAGAGGCTCAGATTCCACCAGGACAACAGGAAAGAGTGCAAGGTTTGGTGAATACCCAGGATAACAAACCGATGCAATCGATGGATGCTGGACACAGTCAGAAAGGGCTGTTCCTTTTTGAAGGAATCTTTAAACAAAAATCCCCAAGCCCAACAAAAAACAACCCCTCCCCCTTCGCCCTCCCCCCGAACAACCTGTCGTGAGATGTTTTGGGTGCCCACTCACAACTGAAGTCCATGTTATCTGGGTCTTTTGCGAGTCACAAAGATCAATACGCGCCTGATGGCGATCAGACGATCTTTAAGGGAGGTCATAGCCAATATAGCCAGCTGGGCTCTGTTCTCCAGAGGCAACACTGCCAAGAGCCACCAGTACCAGGCAGGACCACTGGGGTTGCTCTGCAAAAGGATGGAAAGACATGCAGTCATGTATTCACTAGCACTGCCCCTTGAAGAACACCACCTTCCTTCCAACCTTCTATTTGCTAAGAAAGTCACCGCTAAGCAGTTCAAGCAACAAATAGATACTTAATTTCAGGTGCTCTCCCTGTTTACATGCAGCCAGCAATTTAACACTGAAACACCGTTTCCACAGTTCACGCCAATAGACCAAAATTGGGTAAATAAAGAGTGCAGAACGTACAAAACCACAGCGAAAACCTATCAGAAAATAGCTTTGTGTAAAAATTCTCTATAGAATAAGGCTGTGTAAGGAGGAAGGTTTTATTACCTGTGGCTCTGGTTCTTTTCCTGGCATGGACCCAAAATGATTGAGAATTTGCACTTTCATATTGTCTTTTAGAGAAGTAAACCAGGCAACGGCTTGATCATACACGGAGTCGTGAAGGCGGACAAGTTCTTCATATTCCGGTCCTTCAACCTGATTGATAAAAGATGGAACAAACCAGGTTTGATACCATGGAGTCCACACGCTTCCCCAGAAGCAAGCGAAGCAAAATAATAGTGACTACAGATGTTCAAGTGTCCTTATCTAAGCAAATTGTACCCAAGTTTCAGATTTCAAACCTGTGATGCTGGAGTCTTTTTACCCTCCCCTAGGTGTTCTGAAGTGACATTTCTTGGAGCAGTTACTGCTTCATTAACATCCATTCCTAACTCTGCACAACAAAAAAATCTGCTCTGTAATCCTGGGACATACTAATCATCTGAAACCCAAAACCTTGTGTCCCTGTCACAGAAGGACCTCTGAACATTGGTGTATCATCTAGCAAAACAAAGGAAACGGCACTGCCACCGAGCACAGAGACAGGGGGGTGGGTCTATGGCATTTAGAGAACAGCAGAAGTGCTAAGGCCATGGTAGGACAGCCAAGGAAGAGGGCAGACACCTGAGCAGGCAGGAAGCAGGGAAAGTGGATGCTTTATAAATACCAGGTATGGCCATAAAAAAATACCCTTGCTGAGGCAAAGAGTGTTTTAGCTGCACAGACCTAACTACTAGCTATTAGGGAAAAGAAAAAAAAGCATAAGCAAAAACCACTACAAATCAGTGATTTCTTTTGTTTGTTTGTTTAGTGTTGTTGGGTTTTGGTTTGTTTGGTTTCTTCCCCTGTAATCTGTATGCACCAATAGTGTGATTCACCTGTGCTACTCAGATGCACATCTGAGGTAGCTGCTCTGGATGCCCTTCACAGCTGAGGAGAAACAGCTCTAGAGGGCAATTCATCTCACCTTGAGCTATAGGTGTCCAAGACAGAGCAGACAGAACAGGCACATTTGGGCTGATTTCTCACCATCAGACGTAACATGTATGTAGGGTGCTGAACACAGATATCAGCCTCTCAAGCGAGACAAGGTAAATCGCACTCTCATTATAAAGAGGTGGGTCTCTGACACCAGCTTACAAACGATGCTTGGATATCTGTGTTCCACCACCCTTCACTGGGGATTTAAACATGGCAGAGCCCTCGCTCTGAGCAGACTACCTACACCAACCTTCCACAGGGGTAGGCACCGCCCCACTATCTGCCCTTCCTGCCCTGGTGAACAACTGCATCGTCCTGCCCAGGTGAGAGAAGTCCTACCAAGACTTTCCAGACTTGCACTTCAACTATGAGAGTGCACTGAAGATCTACATGACCAGACTGGGCTTCATCAACTGGCATGAGATTACCACTAAACTCAATGTAAGAGGAATCGAGGATTTACACACATGCTCTGAAGATGATCCTGGAAGTCATCATTAAGCATGGCCAAAAATCGACCCTTTGGCCAACACCCATCACAAGCATATCAACTGATGCAGGCCTTGTAAGAGGACTTGTTTTTAAAAACTCCTCCCCTCACTGCAGTTCTCTCCTCTCAGCCAGCTCTGATGGATGCTTGCACAGGCATGGTTAACTACAGGTCACTAAGATCTCATTTTAAGAGTGGACTCCCACACTTGTTTGAGGACCTGTTCTGTGTATGAGAGCTTGGTGGTCACATGAAATCTGCCAACTGTCTGTTCAGTGCAAGAAGAGAATAGTCAGCTCTCTAACAGCAGGGGCATGTGGTCTTAGAAGGGTTTCAAGTCCATACCAGTTTTAAAACCTTAGTCTGGACAACGTACATCTACACAACATGACAGACCTCAGCACCTACGTCTCAGAAGCTACTTTGAGATCCATGAAGCAGTGCAACACCTCAAGCAGAGATAATTATAAGGATAGAAAGGAAGAAAGGGAAGGAAGAGACAAAGTTTGTTCCATTGTTTTCAAAATAGAGCTTTAGTATTTATAATGATACTGATTTTAAAATAATGCATAGCTAGCTTGAAATGCAACAAGGAAAGGCTACTTAAGTGAATCCAGCAATACATGGGTATGAATAACTTTGCACCATAGATCACCTTTTTATCTTCAAGATACTCGATGTTTGCTGTGTTATATCCATCTCGCTGGCCATGGCTTAAGACCCTAAAACGACGGACACCAACTGTATCAACAACTGAGCGCCCATCAGGAAAAAACTTTACGTCCCTGATCTCTAATATACAGCCATGATCTGCAAATCTGAAATGACAGAAGGGCATAAAAGTGGAAGTCATCAACAAGTGTTATACACATCAGGACAAATACTGGGCCTAATTCACCACCTCTTATTTGAAAGAGGATCCTGCTTTGGTGACAATACATTTCTGCTTATTCACGTAAGCCACACAACCCCCACCCTTTCTGCCTTCCCTCAGAGGTCCAGGGCAGCAGCATTTTCAGAGTGTACTTGCAGGATGGGAGGGTTGGGAAGGGACAGGAAACTAAATGGAGCATGTTTCATGCTGGGAGTTGCCAGCTGCTGATGGCAAATTCACCTGGTTTGCAAAGAAAACAAGATGGGTAAAGATGCCATGAGGAAGTCCCGAAACTGAAGAACAAACGCAGGGCTGGAGGGGCTAGTCCCATACTCCTGGGGTGGAAGCAGAGGATTACATGCTTTAGAAGGAAAAGGCTTCTATATAGCAAAATTTTTCTTGCACTTGTTTCCGTTAAGTTAAAAACAAAACAAGAAAACCCCCAAAACCCCAAACACCGTCTTTACAAAAGCACATTTGTATCTGTTATATTTAAAGTAGGCACAGCTTTTAATCATGCCCTGGAAACAAGCATGCAACAAGTTTTTACTTTAAATTACCAGGCTTATTTACTCTACATTTGTGCTGTAGTGAGTTCACTAGAGAGGCTCACTGCACAATGACTCTTCATCCTGACATGTTGATGTGCCAGCCTTTGCAGCTCTGCACCTCAGCCTGCTGCTAAGCAGAAGAATGCACTGTGTCTCATCTCATCTCAAAACACCAAACCCCTGCAGGGGCTGATAAATGTTTCATCTGGGAGCACTTGTTTTACCAGGGCTTGGCCATTTCTTACATTGGTGTGATGAAGAAACAGCAACACTGTGGGGAAACAACTCCTGTGTCTACTCTATCAGAAATCATGTGTTTGGGAGGGGAAGAAAGAGCTCACCACTGTGAACAACTGTTCTCTCCTGGCCATTGTACAGAACAAACTGAGGAAGAGCAAGAAGAGTACAGCTGCACACAGCTAAACCCTGGTGCTCTACCAGTAGGATTACAAGAAGTGAGTTTATTATATAGTGTTCAATCTAATATTGTTATAAACAGCTACATAATTATTTTAAATTAATTTAGTGATATTAATACTGAATTTAGAAATTGATCTAGAAATGATTATTTGGGGTTTTTTTTTCGGTCATTCTTTGAGAAGTTGCTTTTGGACAGAAAGTAACCTTACTCAAAGAGAGACAAGAAAGTACTTAGAGATGAGTATAAAATGTACTGACACATTAAAATTTTATACTCTTCTCCCAGTTTTAACTTAAAATAGAGAAACAAAACAGAGGAAGATAATGAATTAACATGTCTTGTCACTGTTTTTCAAGGGAGGCATGTATCCAGGTCTTAGGAGATGAGGCAAAACAAGTTTCCCCACTTTTTGTATTCTCAGCTTATTTCATAATTTGAATAAGCCAAAGAACTTCCTGACTTATGTAAGAAGCTACAACAGCCTGCCAGGTGTCTACAGATGAAGGCTTCCTGTGTTTCAGTGTTTGACTTAAGTTACCATGCTTAAAAAGTTTAATTATTTTAGTAACTGAAAACAGGATATAAAAACCTAACCTTTCTGGTTGCATTTTAAAATATGTTTTATGACACTACCCAATAAACGAATTCTTGTGGTTTGGGAGCTGTAACCCCTTGGACCTCTGTATTAGACCTGACTTCAAGTAAGCCTGGCTCTTCCACCAGCCTTCATATATGTAAGGGGAGTTATCACTGAAGTCCTAGGATCATTCTGTCCACTTCTACAAGCATTTGCTTCCAAGCAACTGGTAACTGGCCTGGAAGGGACCACGGAGCATCAGCTGCTACTGTTGGAGCCTGATCTCCACTGAGTGCAGCACTGACAGCATGCCAAGTGGCACGAAGCACAGTCAGAGCTGAATGGAAGGTGTAGCACCTCCTGTATTCTTACTGCAATCTTACCATCTAGTCTGGTGGAGAAAAGCAAAACCAAACCCCCTGAACTGGACAAGAAAAGGCTGCCAAACCCTGGTATGATTGTCCTCCTCTCAGCTCCCGTGATGATCACTTAGAAAACCACTGCTCCTGAGGATGCCTGCCTAATGTGTTCTTAAAAATTCCAATACTTGTCATCCATGCTACAGTCTGCATCATGCTAACTTATCTCCTGAAGTCAGCAACTACCTATTACACCTCATAAGAGAGGCAGACCTCTCTGAAGACCACCTCAAGTTTTCCCCACAAGCATCTTCTTATGCTCTTCACCCAAAACCCTATTATCTATAAAGGACTTAAAAACCTGAAGGGTTTCATAGAGTACTCTGGGTTGGAAAGGACCTTTAACAGTCATCTAGTCAGTCTCCACACAGGAAGCTGGAAATACACCAGTGTCAGAATTCACAAGAATTAATTAAAGCTAAGATTATCTAGAAAGACAATATAACCCACTCACTGCAGGCAGTTTAGACATTGCAACACAGCAAGAAAGACAAACATCAAAATTCAACATTCAGCAGCAAAACAGACTTCCAGCCAAGGGTATACTTTGTCTCATTCAAATGGCACCACCTATTTAGGAAATCTATGGAAGGGTCTGGATTTTCTTTCTATATTATTTTGGGGTTTTTACAACTGAGCAGACAGAGGAGCAATCTTATCCAGTCTGTCAGCTTCCACTAGAATAAAGAGGCCAGAAAGCTTTCCAACCACACAGACAATTAAGTGCTATTTCTGAAGTCTGTAGTGGCAGGATTGAGTTGTACTCTTGCTATCCATCCAACAGGGGAGCAATAAAAATTAAATCTTTGTGTCAAAAGGAATATTTAAGATACAGAACTAAAAAGCCAGCAACTTTATTATTGGTTCATAGAGGACTGGAAGGAACGGCAGTGGTTTGGGGAGACAAGTATACTGTGCTGTAGAACTCCACTGGCATCCCAAGAGCCTCTGCAGCCACAGGACATTCTCATCTCATCTCCTTACCCTTTTAACTCGTCAGCTAAGCACATGCCAAACTGCTTGGTGCCGGTCTCCATGCACCTTCTGATCATGAGACGATAGCGAGGTTCAAAGACATGGAGTGGGCAAGGGATGGTAGGGAAGGCCATGGTGCATACGAAGATGGGAACATCTTTATTCAAACTGTAAAATAATTGTTTAAAAAGAAAAAAAAAAGTGTTCAACTTTTTCTTCTGGGTACAGCTATATTCAGCATAAAACCTTAATACAACAGTGATTCCAGCAGTTTCCTTAGACTCACTCTTCATAAATATGTACCTGGTCGAGGTTCGTCATTTTTACAAGACAAACACATTTCAGGACTCCTGTTAATGCATGAAGGAAACAATCCCTCTAATCTACTTTCATAGAGGAAAAGTCAGGAAGTAATAACCAGTCTCCCAAACGTGTATACCCATACATCTAGCTTATATACACAGCAAGATTTTGGTGATAACTTTTCACAGTAATATAATACCTAAGAACGAGCCATGTTCAAAGCAAGATGGTAGCAGAATTCCACAATCACTAAGGCCCTGTAATTTTGAAGCAGCCCACTAATCCACTTAGTTTTTTCATGATTAATTGCATGTTTTTTCTTTTTCACTTGAGCTGTAGTGCAAGATCCACAAGTCACTGACAAATCTGTATCCTTGAACTTCTCCTGACCTTAACTACATCCCATTTATAATTTGAATTATATGCCCAAAAAAAAAAAAAAAATTATAACTTTTAAAGCTATTATATTGTTTCAGATGAAAAAGCTATTATCTTCAAGAATATTGCTGTGCCTCTCTATCATCCAAGCATATTGTTACTTGTTTATCTGCAACAAACATGTCAAAATATAAAACATCTGGCAAGTTAATTTACAATTTCATTCATTCTGTGCATTTTTATAAGGACTTAAAGCTTCTTCAGTAATTTACACTGAAAAATACATTTTTTATAACAGCTGTCAGTAGAAAACAGAAAGCCTACTTTGACAATTCCTTCATTTCTTCCTCATAAACCTTCTTCCTTTCAGATAATTCCTCTGGCAAGTAACGGACTATCAGTTCTTCTGTAAGGACGGTCTTCTTGTAAGTTCTGCTTGCCAAAAACTGCAAGGAAGAGTCAACTCTTAAGTCTGATAACAAGAAGGCAACCTCTGGGCAACCTGTTCCAGTCTCTCACCACTCTCATAGGAAAAAAATTCTTACAGTTAGTCAAAATCTATCTTCTTTGAATTTATAAGGATTACCTGTCAGCAACAGTCCCTGCTAAAAAGATTGTCCCCATCTTTCCTACAGGCCCTCTGTAAGTATGGAAAGGCTGAAATAAGGTCTTCCTGGAGCCTTCTCTTCTCCAGGCTGAACAACCCCAACACTCGCAGACCCATTCCAGCAGGGCCATGTCTTTCCTGTGCTGAGGACTCCAGAGCAGGACACAGGACTCCAGGTGGGATCTCACCAGAGTAGGGGTAGCATCACCTCCCTCAACCTGCTGGCCATGCTGCTTTTGAGGCAGCTTGCAAATAGAGCACAGAAAATCCCCACACAGAGGCTTCAAAAGAACACAGCTTTGTGTGTTTTTGTTAAATGGGGCAAGGGCACACTTACTTCTGACAGCTTTTCTTTGCAGAGTGGGCAATGTGGATTATGGTCAAGGCAACGCTCAAGGCATTTGAGGCAAAAGGTGTGTCCACAGGGAGTGGTAACAGGTTCATAGAACAACCTGAAATGAAAACATGGAAGAGAAGAGCTAAGCTGCCAACACAAACAACGCAGATTCCCACACTGTGGGAAGGAGTGACTAGATGCAGCCATCTCTTCCTTTCCTGCTCTTGTATAAAGCACATGTGACTGGTTTATCTAAGTATACAGAAAAGGTTTTCATTTCTCAAAGTGGCAGACAATGGAGAAAACCATGCACAATGGAGAAAACCCCACCTGTAAAGAGTCACCAGATGCAAGGTTCAGCAAATAGGAACAGAGCAACGATTTAGACATTCTCTGGCAGGTTTTGCTTCTGACACCATGAAAACTTTTTTTTTCAGAAGCTAGAAAGGACTTCTGATCTTAATCTCAGGTCAATGCAGTCATACCTCATGCAGAGGGAACACTCAAAGTCCGATGCATCCACCAGAGTTGTTGGTATTTCACTTGAAGTGACAGCAGTGTTTTCAGGTAAAACATCTGCATCTAAGTAGTTAAGAAGATGATTACAGTAAATATTTGATTATTACTGCAAATTCAGATGCTGTTTAAGTTGTTTTCCCATAAAGAACCTAATTTATCTCTTCTTGGTTTTTACAATTTTGGTCCAAACAAATATCTTTTCCATCTCAGTTTTAGGCTTTCTGGCAGGAAATGTTTTGGAAAGCAGAGGATGATGTCTATGGCCAGAGAAAGCACTTTAGAGCTGAATGCCCATGATTTGCTTCTCCGAAAATGGTTATTGGGGGTTTTTTTAAGTCTGTTTTTTTAATACTCTGCTATTGCTTTCCCACCACCATCACCACTCCCACATTAGCCAGGCCAGATGTTTTATAAAGTACATTAAGTCCAGAATTTAATTTGTTTACACACAGTCAAACTATTTCATCAGTGTTTATTATAGATTTCTCAGCGGGGGTAATTCTTCTTTCCGAAAAGCTTACATTCTTCTAGACTAGGCTGCTGTGCAAATCCCAAGTTTCAGACAGCTTACAGTTTAAGGACTACTGGAGTCGCATTAGCTAATACTGATTTCACTAGCTCAGCACTCTGCCAACACAGAGGCAGAACACTCTGCTTAAAATTCTGCCCATCCTGGGTTTTGGGAGGTGGTATATATCCCTGTAGTTAACACACTTAAAAGGTATGGGCTTCAAACTTCACAACAGTATTGAAGCTCAAGAGCCATCAGCTGGAGCTTCTGATGATATTTATACAAACAGATTCTGCAGCTTCTACCACCCACATCTTTGTCGCTCAGTGATGAGCTGTAACAGAGCCACGAATGCTGCCTCCATGTCCTTTTTATTAACCAAACCCTTGGCAGTTTAAAAACGTTTGGAAAACAAGCTGGCTTTTTATGTGAAGTTAAAACACTAGGATGTTTTGTTAAAGGATAACTTGTGCTCAGCATCTGGTTTATCTCGAGCACAGACGGGACAGGGGAGAGAGCACTGGTGTTGTGTGGCCTACAAAGAAAATCAGCATTATCTTTAACCTACATCTCACATGTTAGCATTTGGTAATGGCAAGAAGCTAACTGTGTTAATTCTGCAAATAGTAACATGGCACAGGGTTCTAGCACAGGCCAGAAATTAATGGTTATGGGGAAAACGTGATCGCTGGCCTTCGCTGTGAAGATAGCGGCGGGTCAGATTTCACAATCTGTTTACTGAGCCTGCAGTTCACAGGCAGACACAGGGTTTGTCACTTCACAGCAACGTGATCAGAGCTGGCCACAGTCATGGTCTCTAGAGGTGGCAGACAGCAGCGCTTGAAGACTTGTAATATGTCAAGGCAGCAGTCAGATTTTTCATGGAGGTATGGGCTGCTTTTTTTTTTCCATGAAGGGAAAAAAGGCACACTAGTAGAGCAGCATTTTCAAAGTCCCTTTTCACCAATTATTTTACTACTCGGTGCAATATATTGCCTTCAGCATTTTTATGCCAGAGTACTAAAACCACTTTGGAGGTCTTTGTTAGAAGTCTGAGAAGCACACCGATTGTAAGCACAGCTATCAAGTGACAGAAAACTGAGGGGGCTTGTTACCCTTCAAAAGGCTTCTTTGTTTGCTTGGAAAATTTCATGTAAAGTTGCACATGACTGTTTCTGATGCCAGTTAAAGATTAGTTTCCAGGCTTACTACATCTTTCCTTCATATAGAAAGACAATGAAGTTCTGCTATACATCTGAGACCTAGAAAATGGCAACGGCACCAGCAACACAAAGACTAAACTGTTAGTGGATTACACATTGGAAATGGTCTACTTGAGAAAGAAAAATAACAGCATTCATAGAATTGAACTGAAACTGCTCTGGAATAAGGTAAATAGCCTATTACAGCAGAAACAGACACCAGAAACAAAATATCATAGCAAGCCCTGTGGGAAATGTTTCATTGACACCTATAAAAAAGGAGGAGGAGAAAAGTCTATGTTTCAGTATGTGCAAAAGAAATCCCCTTCCTAAGTCCCAACACAAACCTTTTTTAGGAATCTTATTGGGGACATCCAAGCTTTGTAAATCCCTCATATCACTGGACAGCTTTCTTTTTAAGCCAACCCCAGGTAAACTGGAGAGAATAGCTCCCAAAGACTTCTTGTTGTCTTCAAAATAGAGATCCAGAACATGATGGGAAACAGGAGATTCAGTGCTTCTAAATACATCAGATTCTTGGGACGGGGTTTTTGTTAACCTGAACACAGTATCCTAAAAGAAGTAAGAACAATTATATACAGCATGAGATAACTTTGCTTTTTTCTTTTTCCTATTAGTTGTATACATTAGCAATAGATCAATGGCCCTACAGTGAGCTTAGTAATGGAGAAAGGCCCGTACCTAAGAAGACCACTATTAGTTACATGAAATAGGGCCACTTCTTTCCCT